AACCCTTCACCCTGCAGAGCCTCCTGCCTCTGCAAAGGAGAGGGGAGGCTAGGAGGCCAAAAACCTCCTGACCCGCTCCTGATGCCCGGGGGTCATGAAATGGGCTTGCATATGTTCGATTGTAGGGCACCCGACCCTACAAGCGTAACAAAAGAGCCCATCCGGGCTGTTGACTGCACGGTGGGGTCCATACGAGGGTGGTGCCTCCACATCCTCTACAAGAGCTGAATCCGAAGAAGGCTCTTGAGGGGGGGGGCACCCCGTCCCTCCTGTAGACCCCAGCCTCGCTGAGGGAGGGCTCGCTGGCCTCAGGGACCTCTGGCTGTAGGACCGAAGGCCCAGTAGCCATGAGGGTCCTTTCACCCTCACGGAGTTGGTCGCCCATGGGCAACCGCAGGTCCAGGATCGCCTCGTCTGGCCAGACCTGGAGGCAGTCCAAGCCCCCCAGCTTGAGCCTGTTGCGGCACAGGCTGAGCACCTCAGAGGCAAGGGCTGAGGGCTTCACTGCCAGGGCGATCCATCTCGCCTCCGGCGGTTGGCGACACTCTATGTCGAGGCGCACGAACTGGGTCGCCGCCGGGGCACCGCCTGGGACATCGCCCCTGTTTCTCTTGCGAGGGGCTGCTCCTCCCTCGGGAGGATGGGGAGGAGGAGGGAGGGGAGGAGGCTCCTCAACCCTCGGTGCACTGGCAGGTGCCGGGTGGCTGGGAGGGGCTTTAGGGGCTCCCTCCTCCCTCTGGGTCCCCTCCCCTGGGCCGTAGGAGACCGGGGGGCCAGCAGGCGGGGTCTCACGCCCCGGGGGCTGAGGTGGCGCCTCCTGAGGAGCAGGATCCTGCTCACTGGCTGCGCCAGCAGGTCCCGCAGAGGACGTGTCGCGGCTGGTGGCCGGACCACCTGTTCCTTCCTCGACCCTAGAAGGGGAGGTTGAGCCTGTTGAGACCGGAGCCCCGGAAATGGGGTCATCCTTGGTGGTGGTCTCGTCTTTGGCAGGCACCTCCTCCATGGGTATGGGTGAGGCTGTGGGCACCTCGGTGGCCTCCTGCTCGGAGGGTGCCTTCACGGCACTGGGACCCGGCGCAGCAGAGGGTGGGTCAGGCTCCATCTCCTCTCCAGAGCTGCTGGGTGGGTCGTTGGCCGACCTGGCCCTGGCCGACGACTTTACCGCCGTCGTTTTCTGAACGATACGGCGGGACCAGGGCAGCATCTCTTCCTGGTCTTCGGGCTCCTGAGGCTCCGTCGGTGCCGCCGGGGGGCTGCTCTCGGAGCTTTCCGTGGAGCTTGTAGAGGCTTTCACAGCCTTTGCCGCCCCTTTGCTGTTGCCGCCAGTCCGCCTGGAAGGCGGAGGGGTGCGGACTCTGGGCGGCTTGCCGTCTTGGGAGGGTCGGACCCTTCCCTTTCGGCCTTTAGGGCCTCCCTCTGGCTGCGAGGGGGACGTTTCCGGTTCCGCACAAAGCTGGAAACCGAAACCCGCCTCGCATCGGGGTTTTTCTTGGCACGCTCGTCCACATGCTTCCGGTAGGCCTGGACGAGGGCCTTGTCCTCCCTGTGGACGGAAGGCTGTTTGCCTCGCCCTTTTGAAGGGGTGGAGCGACCACGCCCTTCAGAGGAGGCGGGTGGGACGTCCCTGGACCCGCTGGCACCGGTGTCGCCAGCCTGGTCGGTCCAGTCCCACTCTTCCCACCAACCTTGCCAGTCCTGCCACCCGGAGGTGGGACCATCAGAGCCGCCGGTATCACCACAAGCTCCCGAGGAGCTGTGACCGGCGGTCTGATCTGCTGAGGGCTCGGCTGGGGGCTCCCAGAAGTCAGCCCCAAACGGTTCTGGTCCGTTCCAAACCATTCGCCAGACCCATCTCCAGGAGTGGTAGCACCACCTCCTTTCCCATTCCCAGCCCATCTCGACAAGGGAGAGGGCTAAGGCCGGGGAAGCGAGAGGTGCGCGTGGGCCATGGCTGCAGCTACTGCGCTTAAAGGCTTGGGGAAAACTGCGACTGAGGAAGGTGTTAGCAACCCAGGTGACTAAGGGGAAAGGGCCCTAAAAGGAAAAGTGCCTACAAAGGCTACGGCTTCCCTAAGGCTTCCCACCTTGGGCCCAGAACTGCCGGAGCTTAGGTTGATTCACAGGCTTGGGCTTCGGCTTGGGCTTCGGGGTGGGTGCAGCAGTCCCTTCCCCAACATCACCAACAGACACAGAAGCCTCGGGGGCCTTGGGTTGACCTGAGAAAAAGGGGGCTAGGGCGGAGGACTTGGAGCCTGAGGGTCTAAAGGAGCAAACTTTTCTTCCCGAGCGTCGGACGATGCGCGCGGCTCCTAGGCCAAACTGTACAAGCTAAGCAAAGCTACGAGTAAAGCTACGGATCTGACAGCCTAGCTACGGAAGCAAAATTACGCAGCCCGAAAGCCGCGAAGTCTTGCTGTTGCACGCAAGCCAGCCAGGCTGGACCACGCAGCTGAGGCATTGGTGGGAGTGACGTATTCAACGGGTCATGCACACAAGCCACCGTATGCCCCTCACAAAGCTCAGTGGGCCTTCACAAGTGCTTGAGGCCTCAAGTTGAAGGCGAGTTCAAGAAAACCGTCGTCAAAGAGAAGCGAAAGGTAGCCCCGTAGACCAGCAGCAGCAGCCGTCGTACACTTTGTACAACCTAACCTACAGAGCTACCGACGACTGTACACAGCGCAGCAGGAGGTCGTGTGAACACTGAAAGTGCCCACACCACCAGCCTGCAGTGGCCATGATCATATGAACTGACGAGGTGTGTCTTGAAGGCGCCTGGCACAGTAGGCATAGTACATCAAGAATCCAATCATCTTTAGAGGAAGCCTAGACACCAACCAGAGTGGTGTGAACACGCAAGTGCCCTCACCACTGATGCTAACTTTCCTGTTGGGATCTTGAAGCTCGTTTTGGGCCTGAAACCGAAAAAATGGGCCCAGGTCCTTGGGGCTCCTCACAAGGGAATACAGACCTGGGCCCATTTTTCTTGGCTAAGAGCCCTGAGGAAATTTCCCAACCACTGAGGGACATGACATTATAACCATAGGCCACAGCTTAGAGGGTCAAGAAAACCCTATGCAGGGATTCGCAAATGCCACAGTGCTCACAGCACCAGACAAGTCTTACAAGGATCCCCCACAAAAGCTGCCAAGTGGCATATGCTATCGCAATTCCCACAAGCGTGGGAGCATGCTCTAGACTGGCCACAAGCTGGCCTCACGGATCGCTTCAAGTTTTCGGGTGCAGCTTCAAGCGCACACCGGCAGGGTAAAGGACCAAAACGCCAAACTTAAACCACACAAGGGGAAACCGGCCAACTAAACAGCCCAGAACCACAGTAGAAAGAAACCAAACTGAAGACAACCGAAAATGGCCAAATTCCGGAAGCTGCCAGAACAGCGCTCACCTGGAACAATCGCTTCAGGTTTGCTCAGGGCAACCAGGCAGCAAGTGCTGTTGCGGCATTGCACCAACAGTTTGGCGCTCTCAGTATGCGGGCGCAGCCAACAGGCGCACACCGGCTCAGGGTGCAGCCAACAGGGCGCTCACCTGATTGCAGTTTAAGATATAGGGTTGAAAAGGCTCGGCATACAGTCGGTGCAGAAAATGGGTGCAGCAGCGAGCGCACACCAGCACGGCAGCACTAAACTACCAACCGTACCTGCCCCAACCCACCCCGCGCAAACCCTAGCCTACGCAAAGGACAGTCGGGTTTGTTTGGAGGAGTCCTTGCACTGGGCTTTGGGTTTACATTTGGGTTTAGCCTTAACCTTGGGACCAGCTTTGGCACGAGGTTCCATAGCCACACCAACGGCTGCCACCTGGGGCTGCCGCCCCTGCAAGGATGCCTCAATCGTGCGGTTTTTGGAGCCCTCAACATTGGCCATCGACCTCGCTTGAGTCTTCGAATTCATCTTACGACCAAGGCCTTTACAAGGAGCCTGCAGCACGGACGAAGTCGAAGTAGCAGCAATCTTAACAATGGCCAAACACTTAGTGCACGTGAAGAAAGAACCCTTATTGGCCATGTCATGAGTCTCATGCACTTGCCAAGCGGATGGCAAACTGGCAGCGATATCAAGGCAGGGGTTGGAAGCCTTGCGATCAAAGACGTCTTGGCTGTTACACTGCTCCAAGTACAAATTGCAAACCGTGCACTGAATGGAAAAATTGTTCACAGCTTTGGACTCACAGTCACGCCAAACATGACCCAAGGCAGGATCAGGGCTTGCAAGCATATCTTTGAGCCGTTGCTTTTTGTTCGGCTTGGAGGCAGTGGGGTTTTTAGGCTTCAAAAAACTTATCACCCCCAATAACACGGGAGGAACATGGTTGGGATTGCGATGCTTGGCTGGCGCGCTGCATCACCCAAGGAAAACATTTGTCACTCTTATGCTTAAGAATAAACCCCACTTTTTTAGCGAGATGTAAACAAACATCCTCACAAAGCCTGTCAATGGCTTTCAAATCCGGCCTGCACGCTGAAGAATAAACCTCGGCGGACCTAGCCCCGCAAAGGGCATCAACGTCCTCGTTGATGAGCCGTCTCCATTCATCAAGGTTGCGCTCAGCGAAATAAGCAGCACTCTTATGACTTGGAACCCAAGTAACATCAGCTCTTGATCTGTCGTCCCAGCACTCACCCCAAGGCACGGGCCCTTCATGGGGAGGCGATTGCTTGGCAACAACATGAGTGACGGCCTTGCAATCCACCGTAACATCAAAGGAACCAGACACCCGACCAAACAACTCAAAAGCCGCCTGCTGCTCGGCTGCCGCAACCGTCAGGGGTTGCACCGGTACGCAGGTGATGCTAGCCACTCGTTTGGGACCTTCAGGCTCCAACCTGTAAGCAGCCAGGGCCCAAGTTACACAAGCCGACCTGTGATCACGAGCTCCCGGGCCCCCTGAAGCATCGGACGCAAAAACCAACGAGTCACTAGGTATGACCTGCCGGTGGCGCCAAAGCCCTTCAAACACATAACCCTCAGCACTCTTATCCCTCAGTAACGCCGTGGCCTCTTGCGGAACCAAACCTCGGAGCCAAAGGCTAGGCCACGGAAACTGCTGGCGGGCCGCACGAAAGTGCTGAGGCGCAGGGAAAGGCTGGGCAATGAAAGGGCAATCCCACAAAACATGTTGCAAATCAAGCGGACAATGACACCTGGTGCACCAACCTTGTTTAGACCTGCTCACTAGGGCACCCTGCCAAAGAGCCTGAAGATTCACAGCCATGTTTTTGTTGAAAAACTTCCTTTTCTGCAGTCTTTCAGGAACAGTGGCATCCAGGCCACCTCTCAAATTTTGGCACCCATCATTCAAGGAGACTCGCTGCAAGCGAACATCTTCCCAAACTGGTAGGAGCCAGTGCCACACACGGCGAGTGGCATCGGGACTAGACCAATCAATGGTCAAGATGCTGCCATCTCTGCTCCAACGGTGAGCCTGCGGAGCCTGCACACCCAACTCGTGCAGGTAGGCCATGAGAGCCGCCAAGGGCCCATTGACCTTTTTCCAAGGATGCTGGGAAGCCATGAGCCATAACCAAATGTCGGCCCAAGTCGACCGAAACTTATCCTGATCACAAGCATCCCAACGGCGAAAGACCCTAGCAACTGCACGTACATGTTGCCGAAGCAGCGTCAGATGAGGGTCCTCACAGCGGCGGCGGTTAACAATGAAAGTAAGATCCATGCACCCCAGTTTGTGACGCCCTAAATGCTTTGCAACAAGGGTGCGATAAAACTTTCGCCTCTTAGGGCTCACCCCCTGAGCCTGATGGCCCCACAGGCCTGCCGAGCACAGGGATGCGCGAACGATCCGTAAACGGTGTGCTCGCCCCGGCACAGCAAGCTTGTTGAGCTTGCGCGATCGCCCTGCCGCCTTTTTCCTGCGGCTCTCTGCCAAGCCCAGCACCCGCCTGCGTCCACCCGCCGAGGTGATCCCGAGATCACGGTTCATCGGCTTAACCTGCGGATCCGAGGCATCAAGAATTTTGCCAAGAGCTTTGGCAGCCTCAGTGGACGAAGTCACAAAGCAAGTTTTGGAAAGCGAAACCTGGGCCCCTTTGGACTCCAAGTCCTGTCTCAGTCCTCGAAAAAGCTTGAGGCTATCACTAGCAACCTGAAGCGGTGATTTATGAACCGTATCCAAGGACAGATCATCTATCCAGATGTCTAAGTTGGAGGCACTCTTCTTAGAGGCGAGTTTGGCGGCAACCGGGTGTATAACAAGTTTGGACACCGAAGGTGCCGCAGGACATCCTGCCAGGACTCCCCTGCCCGGCCATATAGGCGGGCAGAGGGCGCCTTCGGACTGCACAAACCTGGGACCCATGTAAGTGAGCATGGCCTGGTGCAAAATCAAGGGCGGGTAAGCAAGGGTAAGACCCGAACTAATGACATCATTAAACAAGCATCGGTCATAAAAGGTTTCCATATCAAGAAACAGTGTTATCAGGTGATGCCTGCACCGACGGGTTGTTTCGCCCAACATCAGCCTGGCCAAGGCCACATCCAAAACCTGGCCTCCAGGCAGTGCCTTGTCCCAGTGAGCCCGCCGGGCATACGCAGATTGCCATGCAGACACCAGCGGCCACCTCAATTTTGCCCAAGCCCGATACAAGACATGGAGAAGGGCAATGGGACGTTCCCGTTTTTCAGATTTGGGTAAAAGCGCTATAAGCGCGAAAATCAGCTGATCCGGCCACGCGGCCCGTTTCTCGCAATGGTGCAAAAAGTCAAGAATGGCCTGAACTGCCTCGGCGCTGAGATTACGGAGGACCTCACACGTCCACCCGTCCAAGCCCGGCGCCTTGGAGGGCAATTTCTTAAAGAAGGCAACAGCCTTGTCAAGAGGAATTGGCGCAATGCTATGGGCCTGCTCCACAGCTGCTACCCTGAGCGTCGCAAGAAGGTCCTGGTCCACCCCAGCCGGGTGCGACCACAAGTCAAACCATTGGCGCCACCGCAAGTAAATGCGCTCCTGGACGGGCGCTTCAAGAAACGGCCGAATGGTGATGACCTCCTCTGCCCGCACACTTTTGAACAAGGGACGCATGCCCTTGGACGTGGCCTGACGGAGCCATTTCTCATAAGAGACACTTTTGCTCTGTTGCCACTGCTTAACAAAGTATTGTTTTTGCGCCTTAGCAACATCAAGCAAACCACGGCAAAGATCCTGGCAGCCTTCATCAATAAAAGCCTGAAGCTCAGAATGGAAGGTCAAGGCAGCCTCCTCACTGCCATGCCAGTGATCCGCAAAACAATGCACAGCCCTCTTTGCAAAGGGGCTGACCTGAAAGTGACGGGAGCAAGCTTCAAGCCAAACAATAACCCGATTCCAAAAGGAGACATGGGCGCCTCCCCAACCAGAATCTGGCGCCGTCTGCAACATCAAGGGCTTACGGCAGCACGAAACCCGGGCTCCACGGCCCTGGCAGTCGCCATAAACCGACAGCTCAATATCACGGCTGAGGCTGGCGAAAAGGGAAGAAAGACCCTCATTGGAAACCTCAACCCCCAAAAGGTGCACAGAACTACCATGGCAAGCCGTGGCAGCCTGCTCACCTTGAGCATCATTGGTCAGCCTAAGGTGGAAGGGCTGAGGCCTTAGAGGCATGGGTTTAAAAGGCACAAGCTGGGGTAGCTTAACATCCAGATGCTGAACCTGCAGAGACCAGTGCAGGGCTGCATGGGGAGCAAAAGGAGTGACCCAATCAATCGAAAGCGAAACGGCCGAGGCCAGCGAGGGCGACATCAAGCCATAGTCGATATTGCCACCCCCAGCACATGTGGACTCACCAGAACTGATCCACCGGCCTTTGGCCTCCTGCTCAAGACTGGTGGCAGCAATGACCTCAAAATCTTCGTTGAAATCACCAGCCACAAAAAAGAATCCACGTACCGAACGAAGGAAAGGGATCAAATGTGCAAGGATTGGCGCATTGTGGCTGCCCTGGAAACCTTCACCGGCCTTCAGGTAAACATTCACAAAATAGCAATCGGCATCTTTCAACCTGAGGGCCGCCACCTGAAAACCAGCCCCCGCCCGGACAAAGTGATGCACACGCCTCATGTTCAAGTGCTTGCGAAAACAGATGGCTAGACCACCTGATGTGCCACCTTTGCCGGTGGGATGGGCCGGGACGCTAAAAACATTATAACCATGAAACCCAAGCTGAGCCTCAATCAAGTCAGGCTGGTCTGGCGAAAGATGTGTTTCCTGCAGCAGCAGAACGGCCGCCTTGTGTTGCGCAATCCAAGAGCACAAGTCCTTTCTCCAGGCAGTGATGTTAGCACTGATCACATGCACGTCAGGCCGGACTTTGGGACAGGTCAAATTTGCAAGCGCATCCTCAATTGCCCAACAAGCCACATGCCTAGGCACATCTTCGTGGGTCTCCACTGCTAGCTCAGCAGCCCTCCAAACGAAAGTGCCCTCCTGCATGTAACCATGCTGCTCCATCGCCTCCACAGCCTCAAGCAGGGCTCCTTCCGCACCGGCAATGACAGCCTGCTTAACGGAGAGAAGTGCACGATGTTGGTCATGTTCCCGAGTGCCGCCAACAGGGCGCACATCGGGTGGCATCTCAGGTTTTGCGGACCCCTCTGGCGGCACATTTGGGATCTCAGAACCTCGTTTTGGGCCTGCAACCGAAAAAATGGGCCCAAGTCCTTGGGGCTCCTCACAGGGGAGCATAGACCTGGGCCCATTTTTCTTGGCTAAGAGCCCTGAAGGAAATATCGCAGGCCGCACCGTGCCAAATTCCTGCGGCCGCCGTAGAACATCGCGCGCTGTGCTGGGATCCAACAAGTCTGGCGAAAGCTCATCATACCCAGGTCCCCCAAGACCCCCTGGCCAGCGGCCAACCTCCTCCTGGAACATCTTCCAACTCCTGGTCATGGCCTCCTCCTCCGGAGTCTTGGGGGCTCCCTGCTCGAAAGGCAGGGGCTCTATTAAGTGGTCAAGAGAAGCCAAACTATCAAGCGATGCGAGGCGCAATCGCCGATGGAAACGCCGCCTTGCTCGGCGAGAAGCCGGGACTAGACGGCTGGCCCGACAGCCCAGGGATACTGCACTGACCTGAATCGGCACAACCTGGGACAAGGAAGGCTCAGCACCCTGTTCAGGTTGCACATCCCACTCTTGATCATCATCCACAGCACTAAAGAAGGCTGGCCCTGTCAAAGTACCTACCTCTGGCCTGCTGGGCCTGCAGGTTTTAGCAACGTTGGCAGCCCACTTGGACAAACATCCCGAACAGTAACCTAACACATCAGTCAGGGCCATAAGGACCCCTTCACAAGGATGGGACACTTGGGCACGGCAGCAAGCCTGCACAAAGTCCTGGATCTCCGGGTGAGGGTGAAGCCCTAGGACCGGGAAATGGCCACAGCTCGAGCAACGCCCATTTGCCATGGAAAGGGCCTTCTGCAGACCCTCAAAATGTTGCACATGCAAATTGGGGTTCGGGCCCACAGGAACCGCGGGAGCACACAGGTTCGGGAGCGAAATGGTGGCCCCCTTCGGCCAGTGCACATCACGACGACCTTCGAAATTGGGGTTCAGGCCCATTGAGGAAATCTCACACCCCCTCGTGGAGCTGAGGTCCCAGCCCTCATCCAAGGCAATCCCCATGTTCGGGTCAAAACTCGCATCCAACCTGCTACCCAAATCGACCTCACACAGGCCTGGCAACTGCAAATTGGGGTTCGGGCCCTCAGCTCTGGGAAAAGCGCACAGGTTAGGGCTCGGAATTAAAACCATGTCAAAATCTTTGCTCAAGCACTGCCAAAAGGGTCCCGAGTCGGCCATTAAACAAGCATTGCTCGAAACCAGCCTGACGCGGCACCCACTTGCCTGCACTCGGTATTCTAAAAACCTGTGCACAGGTTGACCTGAAAGCACATAAGGATCAAGAAAGGCACGTTTTTGCAGCCTACAGGTGGTGCCACCTCGCGGGAAACACTGCTGGCACAAAGGTGGCAAGGAAAGCTCAGTCAAGGAAGATTGTCTCGTTAGGGGCACGTGGCAGCATGCACAACACAAATCCTGACATGCAAACTGCAACGCCCCTTCTAACGCTCCCAATCCCACCTCCGAAACCCCAACAAACCACCCCTGCACCACAGAGGGCTCTGGCTGGCCTGCGCAACCACGACTGCGCTCGGCCGGTGTCCATACGCCACTGCGCACGCGGCCTGACGCCCGGCGGCACACTGCACACACCGACCCACAACTAGCATCAAACTGGAACTCCTGGAACTTTGGACAAGGCTGCTCTCGGCACAGCGTGACAGCACAGAGGGGGCAACACTCTGCTTGGCTGAACATAAGCACTGGGCAGAGCTGAGGTGGCCGCACAACGGACTGATCCGACTGCAAGGTGCGAGCAACCAAAAGCTTATCCAGAGGCTGGGATTCAAGGGCCTCGCCTCGACCTGACTCCTGAGCTGGCTCCAAGCTGCATCCACCAACAAGGCAAGTACGGCTATGACCGAATAGCGAAGAAACAACCCGAGAAACGCCGAAGTCAAGAACCCTAATCCCCGACCCCTAACCCTGCTGCGCACTGCGGCCCCTGCTGCGGGACCTGGTTTTGCCCTTCTCCCTGTCATCCTCCTTAGCGGCCTCCTGCTGGCTTGGCCCTAGCCCAGCCTGACCAGTGCTAGGCGGCGGAGTCCCCAAGGCAGATGCATCAGTGCGCCTGCGCTTCACTGCTTCATCAATCGCTTCGACAACGCGCTGCCGATACTCATCCAACTGATCAACCTCCATGTCCTCGACCTGCTTGGCGATCACCTGGGTTGGTTCTGGCAGGGCCTCAGGAATTGGACCCGCAGCAACAGACTGAAGTTCAACCTGCAGAGATGACACAGCCTTTTGACGATTATCCAAGCTCTCATTGACCGACTTCATCTCAGCAAGCATGGCAGCGTAGGTTGTTTTGTGCTTGTCGATACGTAATTGCAGCGAGGCTTTCTTGGCAATAAGCTCACGCAACTCCACCGTCGCAGTCTTAAACTGCTTACTCTTCTCACTCATCACTTCAAAAGTTGTCGGAGGCTTTTCAGGAGGGTCCTCAACAGCCTTGCGAATGTCTGGCGGCAAAGCATTGATATGCTGTCTGCAAAGGTCTATCAGATCAGGCTGTGGCTCCTCTGGCTCCTGGATGCCTAGCTGCAGCAAGAGTGCCCTCTGATCTTCTGACGCCGAGGCAAAGAGGGATTTAGCTGTCTCCAGATCAGCGTCCGCCCCCGTACCTTTGCCGGCTCCTCTGCCTTTGCCTGCCCCACCTTTCACATGACGGCCCGCAGGCTGCTGCGGCTGCTCACCCTTGCCTCCTAAACCTGGCGGAGCCGGGATCCGAGGCTGCCAGCCCGCCTTTTCAATGGCCTGCTTTGCCTGACCCGGGAGCATGTCCCACACAGTGGTCAACGCTTGCTGAGCCGCCCCAACCGGAGGGCTACCCTTGCGAGGCCTGTTGGGCTGTGGGCCTTTGTCCTTCCACACACGTTGTGGCGCAGCTCGTTGGGCCCACGCAGAGCCCTCCACTGCACCAGCTGCACTCGGTTTGGTCTTAGGCCACTGACATCCACATTTTTGGCAGAACGGGTTCGCTCCTACTCGGTCTGCAAAGATCCAGGAGCCTGGCCCGCACTTCTTGCACACATGGTAAGCACGCGACATGCCTGCTGCAGCACTGTACTCTTCAAGATCTGTACCTCAAGAAAAGTTGGCAACGCCTGCAAGAAAACTCTTCGCTGTACTTTTGCAACAAGTAAACGGGCAATTTTGCAAGGCCCAAAATCCAAGAAAATTCTGCACAAGAAAACAAGGATTGGTTCACAAGGTGCAAGAAGAGTTTGCAAGCTGTTTCAAGCAGTGGTTCGGTGCAAATGGCTCAGCTACGCACTTCAGATAAAACCTGGAACTGCCGCTACCCCGCCCCACGCGTCCCGCGCTGCACAGGCAGCCTACGAGCAAACGTGTGGTTGATGTTTGAGACCTGTCGAGACCCACAGTCTAGATACGGACTCAAACCTGGGTGCCACGTCGGCAACAAGCGTCCACTCGCCAGTTTGAACCACCACAGCTTGAGCCAGGAGCAAACTTTTCTTCTCGACGCGCGGAAAGTGGCGCAGCCCGTAGGCAGTCGGCATGCAGCGAATTTGCCTTTGTTTCAAAGGCACTTCACCCTTTCGGTGGCATCGCCAAAAAGGCGGCTGTGACTCGGGCCTACCCTGAGAGCTACAGGCTACCTGACCTACCTGAGCTACTTGCAGGCGTGGAGTCCACTTCCAGGGAGTGGTTCTGCCACATTCCCGGTGAGACAGGACGCGCCGTCCTACAGGGAGGAAACCTCACCCGGAAAGGGTGGTCGGACCTCACCCGGCAGGGCACCCTTGTCTCCACTCGGGAGCGGGTTCTGGCTATGATGCCAGGTAGCGGTGAACCTAGCTCCAGAGGCGGAGCCCGAGCCTGCAGAAGGCTGCCCAAAAGTCTTAGACTCCGAACCCTTTCGGCACTTCTAGCCGAGCCTAAGAAGACACAGGGTGAGGCTAGAGGCCGGAGGTGGCAGACAACAGGGAGTGGCGGACACACTCCTGAGCCACAGTAGGAGGGGGAGCTGGTCCCTCTCTCCCGTAAGCCCTTCACGGAGCTCTGCAAAGTGGACCGAGGGCGCCGTCGCTTTGTGCTCCTTAGCTCCAGAGGCGGAGCCCGAGCCTGCAGAAGGCTGCCCAGAAGCATTGCACAGCCAGAGGTGGTCCCAGCGTTCTCGCGCTTACTAACTGGGACCAAGCACCTATGCCGGAGCCAGCGCTAGGCACTCTTTACCCTTTGCCTGGCCGCCGTAACAGACGCACGGGCTACGTAGCATGGCGGGGTTGAGGCAAACCCGCAGCCTTGTAAAGTGTCAAAAGGGAGCAAAACCGGCATTCTTGCCCTTACTAGCCAGAATTCGCCCCCCCCCTCCCAGCCCAGAAGAGCTAGTAGTGACGGGTTTTGGCTTACCCTAAACCAGACGAAGAGGCTTTTGGCAGCAGCCTTCTTCGGGTCCCGATATGGACCACATTTTTGGGTTTCGGCTTACCCTAAACCATACAGTTGCGACTGCACTGCAGTCTGGGGTTTAAGCTGACCCTCAACCATGTGTGTGAAGCCCACGGAAAACCTCTCCGATTTTTTGCCTCCGAACCCTTTCAACACTTCTAGCCGAGCCTAAGAGGACACAGGGTGAGGCTAGAGGCCGGAGGTGGCAGTCAACAGGGAGTGGCGGACACTCTCCTGAGCCACAGTTGGAGGGGGAGCTAGTCCCTCTCTCCCGTAAGCATTGCCCGCAGGGACCGGCCCTTCACGGAGCTCTGCAAAGTGGACCGAGGGCGCCGTCGCTTTGTGCACCTTAGCTCCAGAGGCGGAGCCCGAGCCCGCAGAAGGCTGCCCAGAAGACTCTGGAGCTTGCTTTGCACAGCCAGAGGCCTGAAACTCAGCGGAAAAGCTCCAGGTGGTCCCAGCGTTCACGCGCTGGAGCAAACTTTTCACACCCCCTCATGCCCGAGAGTCCTCTTCACTTCTCCTCAAAAGTCTTCTTCGCGTTCTTCAAGAGAGCGAATCCTAAACCCGCTGGATACACACCTGACTCAGGAAGAGGAAGGTAGTAGTGGCCGTGTCCCTCAGAGCACTGAGACGAAAGTCCCCACACAAACTCTGTGCGGTTAGACACAAACCACCATCTTTTCCAAGGTCGTTGGTCACCCTTTTCAAAGCAACAACGATCCACAAGGCAACCCTGATCCAAACGAAGCTTCTTAGAAACCCTCTTAAACACAGTCTCATCCCACAGTCCTGACCTCTCAGGCCACTCGTGAGAAAGCAGAAGGTTCGGGGAGCCCACGTAAGGCTCCAACAGCTTCTCGATCCTTTTCCAGGACCTCTTGTGAACGGCCAGAGCCGCTCTCCACTTCTCCAGGGCTTTTCCTCCCTTCTTAAACCTCAGGTGCCTTAAACCACACCCAGCAGAGCACGGAGTAGACAGGTGAGCATACACCTTGACCCCACCTTCATCTACGACTCCGAAAACTTCTCTCAGAAGACACAAGCCATTATAGCTCAGAAGATCAACCTCCTTAGTCACCCCAAAGTAGGCGATCTCGGGGACCTTCGAGCAGGCTTTGGACAACGCGCTTCCTTCTTCACAACACAGTTCAACCACTACGTACTTAGCTTCACCGCGAGCTAGCTTCAACGCAGCGGCTTTCCAGGAAGGCGGAACAGACGGAGTAAAACGTTCGTTTTCATTGGGCTCTTCAAAAGACACGTGCACCTCAGTAGGCTCACTCTCCCAGGCCTTCGGTTCATCTACAAGGCCAGAGGCATCGTACAAGCTAGCCAAACTTTCGTTAGTAGGGCTCTTCGTGAGGGCGTCCGCAGGGTTTATCACTCCGGGTATGTGTTCTATGGTAAAACGACCCCTGGCCACCAGCTCCTGAAGGAATGCGGCACGAAGTTCGATGTGCCTCACTTTCCTCAGGAGGGTCTGCATCTTAGATATACAAACCGCCGATTCGGAATCAGAATATCCCTTAAGAACATAATAACCGGTTTCCCTGTCTTTCGGCATACCCTCGCGGATGGTCTCCACAAGCAAAGCAATGTACAACCCTTCACGAGCAACCTCTGTGAGTGCAGCGAGTTCAGCTTCCGCACTGGAGAGTGCGGTAGTCGTTTGTTTCCTGCTGAAGCTTTTCAGGGAACAGTTCTCCCACGTGATGATTCCGCCGCTTACCGAATTCAGACTCCAGCTCGCGTCCGTAAAACAAGATACAGAGGCAGGGTCCGCATCATCTTCCAAGATCTCCCTTTTGCTCGGAAACCTCTGGACCTTGTGCGGAAGACCCTTGACCCAACGAAGGACATCCCTCATACAGGTCTCGGCAGCCTCGTCAGGAGCTGCTTGGTGGCGGCCCAGAAACCCACACACAAACTGCAGGTCTGGTCGTGATAAAGCCGCCCAGGCCAAACGGCCCAGAGTCCTTCTGTACCTTTCGTGAGCAGCTGGACTGATCGGCTCAGTCTGGCCTTTCTTCAGCAACTCAGCATAGCGGCGTTCAAGGGAAGGGAGCTTTGGTGCAGGTTTGGTGATTCCGTACTCCTCGCAACAGGAACTCAGGTACTGTTCGTCTAGCCCGAAATACACCGTACGTTCCCCTTTCTTACGGCGAAAGATCCGCCGACCGAGAAACGAGACTTCCCCGGGGCAATCTTGAATCAACTCGCCCGTAAGTTTCAGTTTGTATCTTTTACGCAACTCCTCGTAGAACCGGCGCCCCTCAGCTTCATCTTCACTATAGATCAGCAAGTCATCCACATAAAACAACACAATCGTCAAACCCTTCCTCGTAAGACGACGGAATATAGTGGGATCCAAACTTGCTTCGAAGTTCTGAGAGCGCAAGTATTCAGCCAACTCGCAATACCAAGATAATGGAGCAGAGCGCAATCCGTTCATCGCTTTCCGCAATTTGACGAAAACTCGTTCCCCAGTCCCCTGGGTGCTCACATTATTCGGCAACTCTACGAATTCTGCCCTCGCTACGGGAGCATGCATGAACGCTACCGAGACATCGCAGGACAACACACTGCCACGTCGGCAGAGCATTGATAGAAGCAATCTCAGACCCTCCAATGAAGTAGTAGGAGAGTAGATTCCCTCACTCAAGGTGGTGCCTCCCATAGAGGCATAATCCCGCACGACTAGCCTAGATCTATACAGTCCCTTCTTCTTGACCGTGTTGACCCACCTGCTAGTCAAAACTCTCCTGCCGTTTTCCTTAGCAAGACGGCGAGCTTCGCGCTCAGGGATCACTTCCCCAACCTTAAAGGACTCCAACTCTTCCAACTCAAGCTTCATTGATGCGTAAAGGAGGTCGGGTTCTAGCTTCTCTCCCGAAGTCTCAGAAACAGCGTCCTGGGGAACAGCACACCTTATCTTCGTACCCCCAAACTTCAAATCAAACGACTTTGCGACTGCAGTGGAGGCGGCTCGAAGGTCAGGCCCTCGAAACAGGGACTCAAGATAGTGATTCGTGAGCCAGTCTATTTCCATATCCCCCTCATCGTTCACAACCTCCTGGTTCTCAGGCGCTTCCGAAGGAGAATAGTCACCAAGCTCATCTTCGATCATCTCTTCATCACCATCTTCATCCATTCCCACACCCGCCCCCTCATCAGGAGCATCATCACCAGGAGCCTCCAACGGATCAAACAGTATGGGCCTCTCGGGGTCCTCAGTGTCCTGCAGAAGAGGCTTAGCTAAAGATAGCTCTTCCAGGGTCTTGGCATCGTAGATGTCACCTCCCTGAATCATTCTGGCGACGGGGAATATATCTATTTCACTACCTCCGACAGGGACGGCAAAGATGCCGCCACCTTTGGCGTGCACCGGTCCCAGATAAACCGCTTTCACGGTCCGGGCGCCCCTGAACTTATCATGGTGCGCCTTGGACTTACTGACCTGAGCTTGAACCAGACACCCGAACGGTCTCGTCCGAGTTCGGTTCACAATCTCCTCATGCAGTCGATCTATGCTAGTGCTCGAATCCCCGACGCTGGTACACCAGAGGTTATAGCACCTAGCAACGTAGAAAACACAGGCTTGCCAAAGCAAACCTCCCAAAGGTAACCGATACTTCCCAAGCTCAACGGCTTCCGTTTCCTGCTTCACCTTAGCAACCTCTTTCTCCAGGTCCAACCAAACAGACCAGAAACCCTGTTTCATAGTTTCAACCTGCCGCTCAATCGATCCCTTCGACTGGGGCCTGTAGCCCGGAACCACGTCAATCAAAGTTGCGCTGGCAGGGCTGCTATCGCACTTGGTGAGTTTCTCGGCAAGGGCTCCAAGAGCCGCTTCTTGGTCCATCCGAAATGTAACCGCTTTACCGACTAATCCCATTTCGCGAATCACACGGTTGATGTTGTGGAGCAGGTCAGGGTCATCGAGGTGCATCGCAGGAAGAGAGACAGTATACTTAGAACCGAGGTGCATCATCAAGAGTACCCTCAGTTTTCCGAAATAGAAGAAATCAAGACCTATGGTCTGGTTCTCTCTCTGCAGCTTCCTCCTCAAGCGACGCGCTGGAACGCGCCCTTTCGAAGAACAACACGCTTCACAATTGGAATCAAACGGAAAATGCCCTCGGCTCCGATGATTATACAACGACACAGAAGAAAGAGGAACCCTCAGGTCCTCCTCGTCCTCAGGTCCAACCGGGTCGTCAGGTGGTGTTGGACCCTTTTCTTTTCGAGGTTTCTTGGAAGAGCCAGGGGCAGACCCTAACGGTTCAGGGTCCTCATCGAAGATTCCTTCAGGATCTAAAGGATTACGACTAGAAGCTTCAGGTTTTGAGGAAGTTTCGGGAGCAGGTCTCGAGGAAGGTTCGGGGTCTAAGTCAAACGGATCAGAACGTGTACCGGTCCCTGGCGACGGTAAACCTCTAAAGCGCACGGCTCGGAGCACGTGCTCAACTTGTTCCGTCTCCTTTGCCGGGGCCGGTTCATCATCTCCGGCACAAAGCATGCCAAACATGACGCAACATGCGCACTTCAAGTTTTCAAAGACATGCTCACAAACGCGCTCCCCAAAACCTTTCACCTCACGACTCAAAAGAAGTTTCCTACTCACCTCGACGCGGGCCCAACGGTCCCGCAGCTTAATCCTAAAGTAGCTTCCGCGTTTTCTAGAAAACACCCTGTAGCACTTCCGTGGCCTCTTTCGAGAAACCACTTTCCTGAAACACCGAAGTAACCCTGAAGAAACCCACAAAGCTATACCCCAGAAGAGGCTGTAGACCGTCAGGAGGAGCACAATGATACCAATATCCAGTCCTGGCGTGAAACCATTCCTGAAAGCGGCCGTGGTTTTAAAGGTGCGGGTTTCGAAGGTAGGAGGGTTCGAGGTACGTTGGGTTGGTCTTCGAGCAAACTCAACATGCCACAGACCATGCCAACGCTCATGCCACACAACCTGCTGCTGCAAAACGTGCTGCTGCAAAGTGTGTTGCTGCAAAACGTGCTGCTGCAAAGCGTGCTTTTGCAAAACACCCCTCGTTGCGGATCGCCGCAGATTCACTCCAACAATCTCTGGCCCTCTTCGAGGGCTTGCCTCACCTGCGCAGTCAATTGACTGTGGCTTAAAGATGGCGGGCTGAGCACAAATGCCCGTTCCTGGGCAGTCTGTCCGGTGGCAGAACCACTCGCAGCCGCACTCATAGCCCTCGGAGGCGTTGGTAGCCGAGATCTTTTTGGAACCGACGGCGGGATGTTCACGCCGTGCCTTCGATAGTCCTCCCTCTGCATTCCCTCCGGAAGCGTAGGTGCCGAGACCCTCGGGAGGTTGAATGCCGTAGCCACCAGTTCTCCAGGTGGCATTGAGGAAGCCGGGCTCGGCGGCGCCGGCTGTCCCGCCTCGGCAGGCTGATTTCCCTCGTCGGCCGCCCCAACATAGCCATCCAATTGGGACAACCTCTGGCCGGTAAGTTCTTCCAATGTGCGCCATATGGCGAGGTCGGATAAATCTTCTTGGCCCTGGGCCCTGTTCAGCGCAGTAAGTTCCCCTTCTCCAAGGAGCAAGGACTCCTCGTCGGAGCTCGAAGAGGTGGTGTCCACTACACCACCCTGAGGGATCGCTGCCGATTTGGCCCTTGCCGCTCGCATGGATTCCCGGGCCTCGTGGAGGCGCTCCTCCTCTCGTTTTCGCCTGTAATATCGGGCAACACGGAGATATATGCCCGAATCTAGGAACGCCCAAGCCGTTTTGAGCTCGAGCGAGGTGACCGACTGGGGCACCTTTACGAGCAGACTCGAACGTCCTCCCACCAGTCCCTTGTATCCAGCAGGCGTAGCCAAATAGGTTTGCAAAACGGCTCGACAATGGAAGATATAGTGGAGCATAGACACAGGGTTGGGTTCCTGAAACCTTCGCTTCCACGCTGCCCGAGCGGCCCGTGGAGCCTCCAGAAGTTCGGTAACCCTGACAGCGAACTCCACATCTACCATATGAAGCCCGTACTCTGCCAGGCTCTTGCCCTCTAGGCAACGTCCCAACCAAACCTCCCATTCCTGCTGCCCAATGATACATTGGGCTTCCGATTCCACCATCTTCGGCCTCGAAGCCCTCACTGGCTCCTCCGGATAGGCCGCTGTCACAGGAATCACCGGAGTGGCTGGTAGCCAAGCAGCTGGATGCTCTAGGTCGGGCAGGCCTATCGGACCAAGCATCGTCGCCGCCGGAGAGCAAAGTGCTCTCAAGGCGTGTCCTGGCGCACAGAACGCCAGGGATGGGGCATCGTAGGCATCTTCCATGTTCGCTGGAATCCCCGCCAAGTGCGAGAGCAACGGAATAGGCTCGGTAGAGTCGACCGAGACCTTTGCAAGGCCCAGCGTTTCCGCATGCTCCCATCTGCGGCCAGCCTCCAGCCTCAACGCCCTCAGGAGGAGTTGGGTTCCCACATCCATCTGAACCGCACCAAAAGGAGGGCTCAGCGAGCCCGGCGAGATATTCGCCGGGATTCCAACCCGCGGTGGAACAGGCCCCTCGACCTCTGAAGGACCCCCAGCGCGCAGGCGCTTCGAAGGATTCGGCCACTGGGTGCCCCAACTCTCCTCCCCATCGCTCTCCTCCGCTGCTTCCGTCACCACTGGCGACGGGTAGACCGCCACCGGCGACGATGGTCCCCCACCCGGCGGCTCTACCCCCGGTAGTTCGAAAGAGGGGCTCTCCAAAGCCGGTGGAGTAGGCGGATTCCCAGGAGAGCCTGGGCTGCTCAAAGCAACACTCGGGGTACCCAGAGAACCCAATAGACCTTAATTAAGAGTTCAGCCTTTAATTAACTTAATGAGCGCTTAAAAGCACCCTTAATTAGAGACTATAGTGCTTAATTAAAGACTATAATCCTTAATTAAAGAAGAAAACCATTCTTAATTAAGGTAGTAATCCTTAATTAACGACAATACGCCTTAATTAAAGAAGACAACTTTCCTCCTTAATTAAGGAAGATTCGACGTGAGGTGCGGCATGGCAAGTTGCATGTTAAGTTCATGAACTGCGGGCATCTTGTTTAAGGAAACAGGTGTAGGGAGGACTTGAATATTTTATGCCCTTCGTTAAGTATGAAAAATTCACATGCGGCATTCTGTTTAGGGAGCATGTGTTCGGTGTCGTGGGAATATATCAATGTACATGTAGTATGCCATACAGATATCGATCCATGCACATGCATGCAGTCATGCATCCTACTATATGATATATGTATATATATATATGCAAATGCATGACTCATCGATATCGGCTTCAGATTGCATAGAAACTCCACATGCGGCATTCTGTTTAAGGAGCATGCATGTCATGGTATTATAAAATCAAAACCATGCATGCCATGTATATATGTATCATCATGATTATAAATGCATGCATGTACATATATATTGAAGCCTTGCATTTGCAGCACCGTAGATTTCAAGGAGGGCACTCAGCCCATCCTTTGAAAAGACACCTGCAGGTGTCTCGCCCAGGAGGAATAGTCCCTCCTCATGCATGATCATGCCAGCATTATCATGTAGGAATCGTGCATGCATGCATGGAAAAAGAACAATGCATATGTGTTGTGCATATATATATCGAAATCATGCATGCCTAGAAAAAGCTAGCTTAAAAAAACAGCAGCTGCAAAACCAACTTTGTTCTTCGACTTCGCATCATGCGTCGCAGTGCATTGCATGCCATGCATGCATCGTGCCTGAACTGTCGATAAGGCACGATGCATGCTCACCTCTGGCATGCAAGCTCGCTTTTGAAATCTGGACATCATGTGCTGGAGCCGCCATGCACGGCGGCCTTCCATGAATATATAACTATATTCGAGCCAACATGCATGCAGAGTTTCGACATTCAAGCTGCAGGCTTGCAAAGGCCATGCCTGCATGCATGCGCATGCATGCATGAAGCTTTCGATCTCTCATTTTTTCTGCACGGGCGATAGGCATATCAAAGCACAGGCACTTTATGCCCCGAGGTGAAACGAGAAAAGAAAGCATTGGCCAAGGCATTCGGGGTGTTGGCTCCTCCTTTGCTGGCTGCAAGAATAGCCATCTTCCCGCCCCAATCCTCATCTCGGTATGACCAGTGCACACTGGGGCAATCCCGGCCTCGATAGCTGATTTCGCAAAAGAGATGCAGTTTAGGAGTCACCTTGAAGAGGCAGACTCCTTGCACCGTGAAGTGCTCATGCAGAGCGACATAGAGATTTGCGAATGCAACTCCATGCTCGGCCAAAACAGCAGCATCGAACGTTCTGCTACTCAGTTGCTCATAGCATTTGTTGAAATGCCAGGCACACTTGTACATGGTCTGTTCCACCTCATTGTCAGCATCCCTAAGAGCATCAGCCATCTGTGCAGCCCAAGGCACCAGGCATCGCGATTCCCCAGCTTTTGCTCTAAGCTTGGGGAACTTCTTCTTAGGATCCTTGATCATTGAAGGCTTTAGATGATCCAACCTATATTCCACGGCCTGGACATCATAGAACTCCAAAATGCAGCGGAACATTTCTCGAACCTGCTCGTCAAACGTCCCTTCAAACTTCGAGCAGAAGTACTTCATTATGGATCCCAGGAACTGCAAAGCAATTCCTATGTCCACCACATGCAACCAATCCATTTGGATGCACTCAGTTCCAACATACGGTGTTGCGAAAATGGGACTGATGCTAGGAGCAGCCATGAGTGCCTGCCACGGAGTCTTCCTGTGCTCTGGCTGCATCCAAGCAGCTTCACCTGAAACCTCTCGGATATCTTCAGGCTTAATGTCGCACATCCAACAACAACCAGAGGCTTCGTTCCTGCCGGGCTACAAAAGGGAATAATTACTAAATAAGTACATGTATGCAGGTACAAAGTCAAAGCATACTAAATGCAGCCAAGACACCATGCCGGCATATACAGCACCTGCTTGAAAAAAGCCCAGTCGCCTCGTATTTCCAGCAAAACACTTCGAGGCGTATGGATCAATGCCCTTTGTTTTCTCCATGGTTCCTTAAGCGGCTGCAGACCTGTGTGATCGTACTTTGGCATTTGACCAGAAGTTGCACATGTCAAAGACCACCGAAGCACATCCATGACAGCATCCCATGTAGATCCCCCACGGGCTAGCCAATGTTTCTGAATGACGAAAACTGGAATTCGCATTGTGCTGCGAAGCTGACATGTGAGGATGTTGAAGCTGAGCATCTCCAAGCTCTGGTTTCTGTTTCGGGTCATGGGAACACCATCGCCCCAAATCCCGAGCCCGGTGAGGCTTTCACGATCGATCCCCATGTCAGCTGCAGCCCGAGCATGCCTTTGAAGCTCAGACTCCTGGAGATGGGCTAGATCTGTTAAGCCACCACCCTCAGGGGACTTTTCGTTCATGACATACAAAACCTCGTGGGGCAGCATGCATGTCAAAGTAGCTGTTTGTTGTCGTTGATTCTCTTTGTCCCAAACCGGAGCTTGAAACTTGTATGTAGGAGGCCAGTGACTGTTTTTGGATAGGTGCCTCCTAATATCCCTGGGTCGAGCGAGGCCATCTTGCCTCCTTTCACCGATCTCGGCCAATCTCCTTAAGGAGGAGACACCAGAGTCGCGAGCATCCCGAGCCAAATCGGAAGTTTCCTCTGCACTCAAAGTGTTTGAAAGAAACAAGTTCTCCACTCGAGACCTGAGGCGACGATCGGCGCTTTCGCCTTTCTCTGGTCTCTTCTTGCCTGGTAACATGTATACATGGCACGAGAACAACAACCGACACCTACAGTTGTAAATCGCTGAAGCATTTGCCAAGAGCCGACGATGCTGCATGCATGCATGCATGCATGGACACAAGCACATCCACATACATGCAAAGGGTCGGAGTCATGCATAGCAGGCATGTTCGAACATGCAAACACATGACTCATGTGCCAGCTGATTGCATTTTGCGGCTGCAGGGCGATCCGGGCATCATTCAAAAACCTGGAGCTGTGGAACTCTAGGCGGAGACCTCCTCAAAACTTGTTCGGGGTTGCAAATCCAAACGGCTGACCTATAAGGTTTAGGGTATATATAGATACCTTAATAATACGTATGCGTGTGTATATATGTATTATATGTAACCTATAGACCTATAGCTAATCTAGCCCTGATCTAGCTTGTATGTAGTTTTAATCTAATAGTAAAGCTACAATGTTAACTATATATATATATATGTATATTTATACATAATGTATAATTATAATGCATATATACACTAAAGTGCATACAAGTTAAGATATGTCGGTATACCAGATTTATGTATACATATATACACAACATATTATACATAGATCTGTTATATGCATGATACTTAGTTATAACTCATAATTTCTGCGATATGCTTTTATTATACGGTATAATACAGAATAGAAATATGTATGTATATATATATACATATATGTATGCATATTTATAACTATATATATTAATATATTAAGCTTTTGTATGTGTAATATATATATATATATATATATATATAATACATATATATATATAGATATAAATGATTCATGTAACCTACACCCAAAACCCTAAACCTTCCAACTCTAATCAAAACCTTTCTATAAATCTTCCCGAAACGTGTACACAGGAGGTCCCCTCTGGCAGATGGCACATGGCTAGCGAAGGTTCTTCGCCTTAGTCATGGCCCTCTTAAAGGCATCCAGATGTGTGTCGGCGATATCGATTTCTGCCTTTAGCTCAGCCACCACTTCCTTGGTAACATCAGGAGGTTGGACCTCCTCGGCAGTTGCGATCCGCTGCCTCAGGGTAGCGAGGTAGTTGTCGAAGGTGTCAATCGCATTGGCCAGATCGGTCGTGTCGTAGCCGCCGCCGGTGGCAAGCTTCTGGCACAAGTCCTTGCCTGTGTTGAGCTCCTTCTGGATCTTCTGCTTGCCGCTCTTCAGCACTTTCACGCTCGAGACCAACTCCACATGCAAGGGGAACTCGATCTTCACCTTGGCGGCGGGGTCGGCGGTGCTTGTGTCCTTGTCGTTCAAGAAGGAGTCCGCCTTCTTCTTGCCGAGATCTCCTGCTGCGGTGATACCGGACTTGGAGCTGAAGGAGGTCTTCTCGGTTGTCATGGCATTCTTCTCATAGAAGAATCGCTTTTCACCGGCCTCCTTGAAAACCTTTTCTCTGGGCACCGCTTCGTTCCAATCGTAGTCGAACTTGAGACCGTCCAACAACTTCTGCAAGAGCGGGCTGTCGATCGGAAGGTTCTCTTTGGCGGCAATCTCCCATTGTGTCACAAATCCCGAAGCCTTTTCATCCTCGGTTTTCGTTTCGGTGGAGATCTCCCGAATCTTCTGCATGTAGTTGTTGCATGTCTTGTCTGCCAAGAAGGCAGCCAACATTTGCGCCTTTTCTGGATCATTGCGATCCAAGCTCACATAGCGATCGAAAAATTCGGCCTTGTTCTTGAGGTTTTCCAGCTCGCCGTCGCTGACCTGAATCGTGCCGTTCTGCACTCCCTGGAGCTTGGTCTTCGCATTCTTGAGGGTAGTGACCAAGTTGCTTTGAACTTTTTTCTTAGCAGCCTTCTCCATCTCCTGCTTCTTGAGCTCCTTGGCAGTGGCTTTGGGTGCTGCCTTGGGACCGTTCTTCGCCTTGGCCATGGCCTTCTTGGCAGCTGGCTTTCCCATGAGTGACGGCCTGGTGTCACGACGGCTGGGGACAGCTGGCTTGATGAACAAAGCTGAGGCAAAGGAGCAGAACATATGCATGCTTGTAGGCAACAACAGCACCCAAGCTGCGGCCATTCATTTTCCTGGATCATAGCCAAGTCAGAGACACGTTGTCACCTCAGGGGCACGGAGAAGTTAAAGAGGAGTTAAAATTTAACTCCAATTTAACTTGCATTTAACTCCCGGTTAGTTGCCTGGTACTTTTATATGGAGTTAAATCCAAGTTAAATCAGATTCAAATTTTAACTAGTGTTTAACTGCTTGGTCTGTGGAAGCCCTCCTTGATCAGGAGGGTTTCCTGGAACAGATCATACCAGGAGGCATTCCTTAGCCAGGGGTTGCCTCCTCCAGGAAAAAAAAACACAGCCCAGCAAACGACACCACAGCAACAGCCACCTCGACGACATAGTCCGTGAAGTCGGGCCTCGGTGCCACAGGCATGCAACACACGAGGCCGGCAACAGTGCACCACACCTGCAGGAGCAGGAGCTTACTTGGCAACAACAGCCTCCATGTTGTAGTCCCTGGAGAATGCACACCTGCAGCGGCTCCGAGGTGTCGTGCTGTGCGGCACGGTGGTTTGGGGCTTAAGGGTTGGAATGGTTTTGGGTTTTAGGGGTTTGGTGCTTTAGGGGTTTAGGGGTTGAGGGGTTTTAGGGTTGAGGGGTTCTAGGGTTTTAGGGTTTTAAGGCTTAAGGTTCTAGAGTTTCAGGGCTTTGGGCGTCTAGGGTTTTAGATCTTTGGGTGGTTTAGATTAAATCTATTCACACCATGCACACCAGGAGGGATCGCCTCCTGAAACCCCAAGGAGGC